CCTCTCTCTGAGCCACAGGAATTACTGTCCACTGCCAGGCCACTGTGATGCCTGGGGAGGGCTGGTGGCCGTGGGAGTTCACAGCTGGTGTCACCTGCCCCGAGCTGGCCTTGCTCCCAAGGCTGCTTCCAGGGAAGCACAGGAACCTGTGCCATTGGCACTGACAAGCGCTGGTCTCTCTGGGCTCGTGCTGCTGGGGCTGGTTTCGGCTCTGCCTGCACAAGCCCACTCTTCCTCCTGCACACTTGTGAACTCTGGATGCCCTCTTCAGTGGAAGTGCACACGGGATGTGCTGTTTGCTTGAGTTAATGTGTGACAAACTGCCGGAAGAGCACGGTCGGCAGTGGAGGAATGAGAAATGGCTGCTTCTCTCTCGGCTTGGAAGGACGAGCAGTTTGTTGCCGTGAGGGGTGTAGGGGTGTGTGGGACTGGGCAAGCTAGGGTGTCCGGTGCTGGGCAGGCTGTTGGAATTATCTTCTGCCTGGTTTCCTGGCCAAGCACAGAGCGGGAACCACTCACAGTATTTGTCCCTGCTCTGGCACCTTGGGCAGAAGTGGCAGGAGACAAGTGCCTGGCTGTCCCCTGGGGCTGTCTCCCAGGGCTGTCCCTCTGACTCTGTCCAGTCAGGGCTGTCCTTCGGGGGCTATTCAGGGAGCTCTGGGCTGGTGCCATCACCCCACCAAGAGGAAACCTCCCTTGTTTCCAGCTTTAGAGCCCACTTCACTCACCACCTTGTATCGCAGAGGCATCTGTCTGCCCAGGCACTGGAAAATGCCGCCCACGGCAGGCCAGCCACACTGCTGGTGTTATTTTTACTCTCCTTACTAAGACAAGGTTGCATTAAGAGGGTGTTTGCACTGCTGAAGCCCAGAATAACTCCTCATTTGCTCAAGGTGTTCAGTGCAGGACTGCGACTTTCCTCGCCCCCGCCCCGCTCCTGGAGCTGCTTCAAAGCGTGCCGGTGCCTGCAGTGCCGGTCCCTGCCGTGTGTCCCGCACAGACAGAGCCGCTGTTTGCTCTGCTGGGTGTGTGCCGGGGCGGCTGCAGCCCCTCCAGAGCCCGCACATCCTGACTCAGTCCCTTGTGCAGGCAGATAAACAACCCTTGAAAAGGGGCAGTGTCTGCTCTGAGTCGCCCTGTTAAGTCGTCAACCGACTTCAGGAGCTCTGCCCATCTCCTGGGGTGCTTCCCGCCCCGGGTATTCCCCAAACTCTGTCCTGCAGCTCCTGCAGCCCCCCGGAGACCGTGTGCTCCTCGGTGCGGAGCCCGGCACCGCTCCGGGGTGAGGGTCTGTAAGGGATGTGACTTCAGGACAAAGTGCTTTATGCCCATGTGGACAGGGCCAGCGGGGGCTGTCTGGGCATCCTGGCATGCAAGGTGCAGCAACTACCCCTCTCACACCTCTGTCTGTGAGCCTAGGAAAGTACTTCCCAAAGCTGGGACGAAAGACTTGGAGCTGCTCCATACGTGGTTGGCACACCCAAGGATCCATAAGGGCACACAGGCTGGGATGAGGGAGGACGGGGTTGGTGACGGCATCATGCTTAGTTTGGGGCTTTGGTTGCCACAGGCAGCTCTGGCGCTGAGCCAGAGGCTGAGCAAGACGGGCTCAGTGCAGCACGGGGCTCCCGAGGTGATGGGGTTTAGAGCCGGCATAAAGGGGGGCTTGTTCCCAGCTGTGGGCAGCTGCCTGCCAGGCCAAGCACTGCAGCCTTTCCTTTAGGAGGAGAAGTGGCTTTTAAGGAAAAGCAGCTAGTTTTTCCACCTGGCCCCCCAGGCAGGCGCGGTGTGCTCCGGTGTCGCAGCCGCAGGGCAGATGCAGCCCGAGGATGGAGGCGTCCGCTGCGCTCAGGGCAGGGGAGGGATGTGCGGTGGTGTCGGACGCAGTCCGGGGCTCTGGCTCCCAGCTCACGGCAGAGGCTGAGCCAGAGGCTGTTCCCGAAAAATGCGGAGCCTGAACCAGCATCCTGGAGGGATCAGCCAGCAGCTGATAACCAGCTTCTCTTGGGAGTCCTGGTGCAAGGCACCCCCTCCCCATCCCAAGGGGGGCTCAGAAGGAATCCATTATGTAATTATCTTTGGTTTTAGGCGGAGTCTATATTTTTATTTAAAAGAAACGAGAGAAAAAACCCTCTCGAAAGTCTCCGGGTTTATTGGGTCTGCAGAGTGGGGGCAGGAAAGCTGGGGGCTTCCCTGGCAAGGCTCCCTGGGAGGTGGGTCCTGTGTAGGACAGCAGCAATGCATGCAGGAGAGATGGATTCTCCAGTTGTGCCAAACCTTTCCTTGCCGGTGGCCCCAGGATGGCCACAAGGCCAGTCCCACTGTGGCAGGGTCCCACAGCACTCGAGAGTGGGCTGCAGTGCTGCAGGATGGACTCACGTCCACTGCCAGGATAGTTATGAGCCAAACACAATGTTTTGCAAACTGATCTGGCTGTACCTGGTGCAAACTGAATTCCAGGCTCCAGCTGTCATTTCCCAGCAGTTTGTTGGAACCCCCCCAGCCCTCCCTCCCCAGGGCTCCTGTTCCCCCAGGGTGCCGCTCCCCGGTAATCCCTCACCACCTTCACAGCTTGCAGGCTCCAGCGGGTCTGCAGGGGGAAACAAGAAGGGTCTGTGCTCCCCAGTTGGTGCATAGAGTGTTTGTGCTCCTTGGTGAGCTCACATGTCTAGATTTAATGCCTGTGTGATTTCCCCAGGGCTAACACGTGAGCCGTGTGTGTCCCAATGCAGGTCACCTGCCCTGTCATCATCTGCCCAGGGCGGGTGTCTGCAGGGCCCCTGAGCAAGCACTGGCAGAGGCGATTTCCATCCATCCTTTGGGATGGAGCACAGCTGGGATTTTGGAAAGCAGCTGGCCTTTCCCTGGCCAGCTCAGATCACATTGAGTTATGTCCAGCCCTCGGAGCTCTATCCTTTGGCGTCACCCTTCACCCTTCCTGTTTTCCTCTGGTATCACTGGTTTCTTTGGTTTTCCATTGCTTATGGTTATCCTGCAGCTCCCCAGAGCACCAGCAGCCCCAGCTCAGTGACAGGCAAGACCTCAATTTTCTCCGACAGAGCAGGCACTTGGAGATAATGAAGCTTCCCTGGAATACCTCTGCTTGCAGCTACGTCCCAAAGCCAGGACTGAGCTGGTGTCCTTGTCCCACAGCTCAGCCCCCTCTTGCACCCAGAGCTGCCTCTGTGTTTACCCGCTGAAACAAATCTACTGCCCTGGCTGCCACCCAGGAGGACAAATCCAGGCAAGACAGTGTTCCCACTGTGGCACAGACCAAACCCCCAACTTGTGCTTCTGAACTCCCATGGCTGTTTGTGGCTGAACCCCAGTTCCAGGGCTGCCAGGACAGGAATGGGGCTGTGGTGGCTCTGCTGGCACCAGAACTGCTGGGTGGCCCATCTGGGGTGCTCTGAATTTTTCCACATGATGTTGTCACTGCATCTCTGCCTTGTCACCCATTTCCCACATTTGACTGGGGCAGGGCACAGCTGTGGGAGCATGGGAGCCCCAGTGCTTCCTGCTCTTCCTCTTCCTCTTCTTCTTTTCTTCTTCCCTCTGTCTCGTCACAATTGAACCCAGTGACCCTCCAGCCTCTGCAATTTATAGGGCAGAGCTTGATGGGAATCTGGTGGTGAGGAGGAGGAGGAAGAAGACTGCTGTGGCTGTCTCCAGTTGGAGCTCCCTGCTCTGTGCCACCCCAGGTACTGTTCTGCTCTGCTGGAGCAGGGCTCAGGAGCCACAGGGAGAAGTGAAGGTCATTCCCTGGGGCTGGGATCTGTGCCTCATCCACGGGTCCTCCAATTCCCTGAGCTGGTTTTGTCATCTGCTGTGTCCAACATTTTTGACCTTTTTTCCTTTGGAAAGAAGTCTTTCCTGGGTTCTTGTGGGAGCTTCCCTCCAAGGTTGGAGGGTGATCTGCACCCTGGCACTGCCAGACCCTGACCAGCCCACACTGCTGGATCTCTGCCAGCCCCTGACAAATGATTTTGCCATTTCACAAGGGAAAGGAGACATTGATTAACTCCTATACTTGCCTTTCTGGAAAGGTTATGGCTTAATTGGTCAGACTTAGTAGCCATAAATCATGTGCTTAACGACAAGCAGAGATAAGAAAATTTCTGCAGAATGTTGCAAAACACTTTTTGGTAGGAGGGATCGGGGTATGCCCACCCAGCTGTGGGGGCTGATGGCTCTTCAGTGCACAGGATCCTTCCAGGGAAACGATTCACCCTCCAGCCACAGGCCGGAAATTCCCCTTTCTGTTATCGGTTCAACTCAGGATTAGCAAAATATCCTTTTTTTATTTTACTTATGGAAAAAGAAAATAACAGGAAAGTCATTGTTTGCTTTATTCAGAAGAATCATAATTCCATCTGGTTTGAAAAATGACTTTCTCTTTCTCTTTCTTGCTGGAAAGTGCTATTTCTCCAACCTAAAAGCTGTAATGGGGGGATTCAGCAGAACTGCTCTCAAGAGAGCAGAAAATTGAGCAAGGGATCTGTCAGGCTTGGCTTTGAATGATGCTGCAGAGAGGAAAGATTTTTGGGTCTCACAGTGAGCTGGGCCACCTCCAGGTGGGCATGGCTTGCACTGGCCACATGGGACAGGGAGTGGGCACACTCAGCTGTAGGGCACGGGGAGCAGGAGCATATCATGAAGAGGTGGAAATGTCCTGGCTCAGTGGCCTTGATGCCATTCAGGATGTGGCATTATTGGAGAATGGAATGAACTCTAGGCTTGCACAGGACAGGCTGTGCAGATCTGTCTGGGTTTTCTAGGACGACTTTTAAACCAAAAGGAATGGGGATGGACTCAGTGACCAGGATTTCAGTGGAGTAGGGACAGAATTGTCAGCAGCGAATCCAGTGCTGAGCTGGGGAAGATGGAATCTAAAATAATTGTAGGGAGAAGTAAAGAGCAGACAAGTGGGTAGGACTAGGAGTGGTGGCAGGCAGAGTCCTGTGGCAGGGCAGGGCAGGGCAGGGCAGGGGTCGGTGCCGTTAATGCTTCAGTGATGACCCAGACAGGAGGAGCGTGGCGCCCGCGGGGGGCAGCTGGGGCCGTAAGGAGCTCAGCGGGGCTTGGCTTCGGGATCTGGCAAAAACAAGGCTGAGGGGGGTATGAGTGATGCTCAGGCAGACTGGGATGGGCGAGTGCCCTTTGCCGAGGCGCAGCATCCCGCAGGGTGCGAGCCATGACCGTGCTGGGCTGGGAGGAGGAGTGTGTTTTTCTGGAACAGCCTCCAAGGCAGAGATTGCTTCTCCCCTGATGTCTCTTGATTAGCTCATGCTGTGGCTGCCCAGGGGGGCGGCCGGCAGTGCCTGGCCCCGACACTCAGGGTCCCGCCTGCCATCGCCTGCTCCCGGGTGCCCAAACACGCAGTGCGGGGACAGCATCCCTGGGGACCTCAGGATTCTTTGGACTGGGATTGGCAAGGTCGCACCCAGGCCAAACGGGTCCCAAAGGCATCAGGACAGCGCGTTCCCAAAACAGAGTGGGGAGGCTGGGCAGGATGACAGCACTCTGCTGATGTACTGGGAGGGAGAACAGGAGACTGAGGCACTTAACCCTTACAAAAGGGTCCTTTGAGCAGGACCAAGGTGCTGGCAGCAAGTAGGAGAGCCAGGCTGTGGACACAGCCCATGTAGGGGGCACAGGGGGCATTCTTGGTGGCACCAGCTGCCCGTGGGCACTGTGCTGGGATGGTGGGAGCAGCTGGAACTTGGGTGAGATCCCCAGCAGCTGGCTCTCAGTGGGACACAACTTCTCACTCTCCTCCATGAGGACCATCCAGGTGTTTCTCTTCAGGTTTATTAGTGTTAATGGAGTTAGTCCTGTGTTAATGACCACACACAAACCCAGGGCCCACTGCTGGGGCTCAGCCAGGGCTGCAGCAGCAGCACAGGGATGGTGAAACCACCCAGTGGAGCAGGGAGCACAGTCAGTGGCAGGAGCATCTCACAGGTCTGCATGCCCCTGGGATGCTCCAGGCACAGCTTCTAATGTGGGAACCCTCCCCACTGCCTGAGACTAGGCTGGCACTGGTAGGGATAAAGGCACTTTCTGGGAGAATTGCTACACATCTGGTAGATTGTGAATGAACTCTGTGAGCTACTGATGGAATTACTGCTGATCCATGGCAGGGAGAGCGCTAAGGACAGGGAACCAAAGGTTCTGGGACTGAGGGTGGGCTAAGAAGTTCCAGCATCCCACCTCTGAGCATGGGAAGTCTCATCCAGTCCGTGATCAAGACTTATGCAGCTGGACAGAAACAACCCCAACTGGATGAAGTGTTTACTTGGCATTTGCTTTAGCTGAACTTTCAGTATGGTGGTTCTCCAGGTAAACGATCTGGTGGGCCTTTTCGGATGGGCAGGGTAGTCTGGGACTCTGGAGGTCCCTGGGCAAAGCCAAGTTTGCTGCTGGGGCTTCTTCCATGGAATTCTGTGAATCTGAGTCTTCAGAGGAGAAACTGCTCTGGCTGGAAATCTGGAAGTACTGGGCAGCTTCTGCCCGTGGCCCCACTGGTGCAGCAGGTGTGCTGGGATCTGAGGCAGTCCCATGGGGCACAGCAGCAGGACATGGTGGGTCAGCACCTGGAAAGCGTGTCCAGGGAGGCAGGGTGAAGGGACGCCTCCGAGGGGGCTGTCTGCGCTCCTGGCCGAGGTGTCCTGCTGCTTTCAGGCTGGCTTTGCTCTTGGGGTTGGGATGGGGGGTGTCAGCAGAGATGTGGTGCTGAGAGGTGTGGGCACCCTGAGGCCCCAGCCAGCAGTGGGGCTGCAGAGAACTCTGCTCCACACCCAGCGTGGAGCCAGGAATGGTGCTGGGCTGGGATTGTCCTGGCCCCTGGGGCTGTCCTGGCCCCTCAGGGCTGGTCTCTGGCTGCTCTGCCAACCCCCTGCCCCCCAACACTGCTGGCTTGGGGCTGGGGACTGCTCTGCACACCAGGACGTCTGTGTGAGGGGCTGCAGACCCTGGGATGGAGGCGTCTCCCTGCCCATCAGCTTGTGCTCCCCAGGCCTCCTGCAGCTCTTCCAGCATCTCCTCCAGGATCTGCCGGGTCTCCTGGTACCTGTGCTGTGCCTCTGTCCAGGCTGCCAACCCTTGGCTGCTCTGCATCCTGCGCACCTGAGCCTTCATCTCCTTCAGCTTCTCCAGGGCGAACTCCACCGAGAGCTTTTGGAAGGATCTCTGCAGGCAGCGCAGTGCCTGACCCTCCCCGCGCTGCGCCCGGGCCGAGCACTGCCGGCAGTCCAGCTTCAGCCCTGCCACCTACAAAAGAGATGACAATGGCTGGTTTCATGGCCACCAGCAGCACCGTGTCCTGCAGGGAAAGATCCCCTTCACCCACCTTGTTGGAGAAGCGGATGAGCTCCTGCAGCAGCTCCCGCTCTGCCTGCCGCCGCTCCAGCTGCTTGGAGAAGCTCATCAGCTTAGTCTGGAAAAGGGCTGCAGCCACTTGGAAGGCATCTGCCTCAGGGAATGTCGTGTCTCGGACCTCAGCTGCCTCCTGGCAGAGGGTCAGGCCATGCTGGTACCGAGCCTGCAGGGACCAGAGGGAGGAACAGCTCCACATCTGGGAATGGTGCTGACCTGGGATATGTGTGCAGAGTGATGTACCACAGGCAGCACTTGACATTGCCATTTACAGATGGATGGGAAACAGTTCTGGGCAAGTGAGAAGAAACAAAGCAATGGGATTCTCCAAATCTCTGCTCTGCCCTGGTTCAAAATGCACCAAATGCACCTCCTGTCCTGAGTGGGGTCACTATGCTTCACCTTCCCTGCAGGGCGTGTGACTAAAGGGCCTACACATCCAGGGGAACCAGAAGATCCTCATCACAATGTTATTTGTTGTCTGATAGATGCCTGGGCATCTGGAAAAAGGAACTGCATGGATGGACTGCAGCAGAGGTTGGGAACAGCAGTCCCAGCTCAGCACACATCAAAAACAGTACAGCCACCCCCTCACAGGAGCAGGACTGCCCCACAATGCCGAACTTGATAACTGCAGTGTGACTCAACAGCTCAGGGACACTCATTTCTGCTCAGAAGCCTCTTTCCAAACCCCGGGGATGTCTGTTATAGAAAAGCCCCTCCAGACGTACTGTGGCCTGGGCAAGGAACTCCTTGAAGTGCTCGGCAGAGCCCTGGCAGCTGTCGGGACTCCAGTCCTCGGTGCCCATCTCCTGCAGCCGAGCCGCTGCCTCCCCGTCCAGCCAGGACCCCAGCTGTGAGAGAGCAGAACAGGGATCAGCAGCGTCCACAGCACCTCCCCTTCCTGCCCCAGCCGGGCATCCCAGCCCAGGCTCAGTCACATACAGTCGCCCATAATGAAAATCAAAGTTCAGGCAATCCTGCCATTCTCCAGGCTTCCAGCATCATCAAAACCAAAAGAAATGTGACCAAAACACTCAACCATGGAACACCACAGAGGGCAACTTCACCTTGTGGCACCCCAGGGACAATCAGCTCACCTTGCCAAACTCAGTCTCGAGCTCCCGGACCTTGCGGAGGAACTCCAGGCGCTCCAGGCAGCTGTTGGATTGGGACACGAGGTTGTGAAGTTCTTCCTCCAGCTGACTATACAGCCCCTCAGCCAAGTCCATACCAGTCCTGGGGGTTGGGACGAGAGGGGCCATCAGTGCCAGGTGAGCTCATGGATGCACAAGGTGAAGGGAGCAGGTCTCTTGCTCAGCTCCTGACCCCAGCCTTGCAGGCACCTAGACATCTCCCCAATCCATGGAACAAATGGATGGCAGGGACCATGGGATGGGAAAGCCCTGTCTATGAGTGCAGCCCAGCCCCACTGAGAGAAGGGAGCAGGAGGGAGCAGTGGATCAGTGCTGCTTGAATGCATGCACTGTGGAGCAACATGGCACGGCTGGACCAGTGTGTCATCACCAGACGGGTGCAGCACTCCTGGCCGAGAGCGACATCACGGGGTGAGTATGGAATGGCCCAATTACAGCATGGCTGGATGAGTAACAGCATGGCCAGATTACGGCATCACTGGATGAGTATAGCATTGTCCAGGTGGGGGTGACATTACTGGATGACTACAGCACGGCCAGAGGAGCCATGCACAGCCGGATTATGGCATCAGTGGATGAGTGTGGCATGGCCAGACAAGTGCGACATCACTGGACGATCACGGCATGGCCGGGTGAGCACAGCACAGCTGGCTGGGCGCGGCATGGCCGGCACGTGGCCCCATCTAGTGGCTTTTCCTGAGCCCAGCCCCAGGCATTGCTGCAGGCATTGCAGAGCAGTGACTGATCTGGCCTGCCCTGCGGCAGGAGACCCTCTCAGTGATCTGCCACCAATGAGAATGAGGGGACTCCTGCAATGGGCTGTCCCAGACAGGTGGTCCATGCTTCCAGAGCAGGAACAAGCATGGCAATAGCTTGGGCTCATGGGGATTGGGCTGTCCATGGGGAGGTGGCTCTGTCAGCCAGCAGGAGCCAGGAGTCCCTGGCATTGGCACCCCTTGGCCAGCAGAAGTGCCGTGTAATACCTGACGTGGTCGGAGGCACAGAGGCGGGCAGCCTCCCTGCGCAGCCTGGCCAGCACGAACCCACCCTCACGCTGCGCCCGCACCAGCTGAGGCTCACTCAGCACCTTCTGCATCAGCTCCCGGTGCCTCCTGATGCCTGCAGCCACATCCTGTGGAGGAAGGGAGGGTCAGACAAGTGTCTCACCTGGGGTCTCAGCCAGAACAAGATGGGTACCTGGGGCTGCACCAGACAGGAGCAGAGAGGACAGGGAACAGCCCCATGGCCAGGAGCAGCCAGTCTTGGAGCGGTTATGCCAAGTTTTGGGAGAGCAATGTTGCTGTGGCTGTACTGCAGATGGGCACTTTGGGAACGTCCCCAACCTGTGGTGCTGCCACCCCTGTTACCTGTGTCCCTGCCAGTGCATCGGTGTTCCGCAGCTCCTGGATGCAGCGCTGCAGCAGCTCTGATGCCTGCCTGAGGCTGACTGTGAAGGGCTGCAGCTTCTGTGGGGGACACACACGGTGGGTCAGTGGGGGCAGCCTGCCCATGAGGAGGAGGAGCAGTGCCAGGACAGAGCAGGAAAAATGGTGAGGCACTGGGTTAAAGCTGATGAGGAAGGGAGTGTGGAGGTGGATGGGCAGCTGCAGGCAGGAGCAGGTAGGAAGGCGCTTGACCCTCCTGTGCTCAGAGCTCTCCTTTTCAATTCCCCTCTCCCAGCCCTTCCTGTTGCTTTTCCAGGGATGTGTGTGGGACACATAAGACGCAGTGGGGACAGAGGGACATGAGGGAGGTGAGGCAATGGCTCATGGCGTGGTAACAGACACCTGGAAGAATTGAACCCACTCGCCGTGGCAGTAGGGGAAGGCACCATCCAGCTCTGGGGGCAGCTGGGAGCTGTCGACATGGCGGCCCAGAGCCTTCAGCGATGTCACGGTCTCCACCTGCAGGGCACAGGGCTTGTAAAGCTGCCTGGAGCAGGGAATAACCCCCTATTGCACCAGCTCAGGGCACAGGGACAGGCTCACCTGCACCCCAGACAGCTTCTCACGGTGGGAGACCAGCTCCTTCTCGGCCAGGAGCAGCATGCTGTGGATGCAGCCTGGAGAGACACTCTGCGGGAGGCAGGGGAGAATCACCAGGGCAAACCCCACACGCAGCCCTCAGGTCACCCAAGGCACCCATGGCTGGGCTTTCCTGGGTCGGCTGAGGCTGGTGAGCTCATTGCAAAGGAAAAGACTCCCACTCTCACTGGTGTGGGAGATGGAAACACGTCACTCAGGCCGTGACCTTGTCCCCATCACCAGCTCCCTGGCAAAGGACCATGGGAAGAACTTCATGAGTGAACCCCTTCTCTCACACCAGTGAGACTTCTCCATGTGAGGAGCATCAGGGCCAATGTGGGTTTTATCAGGCATGCAAAGGGTGCTGTGGCAGGGGGGCCCCCATAGCCCTGGACAACACAGGGAACTACCTGGGGCAGTACCTGGGCACTGGCACAAGGACTCTGTCACGACAGTGGAATGTCACTGTGGAGCCTATTTCCTGGTGAATTCACATGGCAAGAGCTGGAGGGCTCTTGGTGATGACAGGGCTCAGAAAAGATCTTTTGGAATCACATGGAGAGCAGGAAGAGGGGAGGCTCTGAGGGACCCCTAAAGGGTGGCAGCACTCCCTCCCAGACAGGGAGACCCCTGGCATGTCTATGGCACAGGCACACAGAGCCCAGTGTACCTGGACAGAGCGGAGGGCTGAGAATAGGACAGGAGCAGGCGGCTGCTTCCTGGCATCCACCACAACTGTCAGCCCAACATCCTTCGCTTCTCGCCTCTCACCATTCTTCACTTCTTGCCTAGCGAGGGGAAACACAGCAGGAGTGAGGATCCTTTCCTGGGGCAGGACCCTCTCAAAGCCCCCTCCCACACCCTGCACTCCCAGGCAGGGAGGAACCCACAGCCACAGGCAATGGCCTCGTCCTTGTGGCATGCCCCTGCCAAGGGTCCAGAGCATTTGCCTCTGGTATGGGCATGGTCCAGGGTCCTCAGGGATGTGCCCAAACCAGTGTTTGGGATGCTGGGCATCCATCCTGACTTAGCCTGGGAGCTGCCTGGGAGCCCTGAGGCAGGCAGCAGCTGGGGGTCACTGGCAGGACCTGCTGGCCCTTACCTGGGGAGGGAGCAGAGGTAGAGGATGAGCCTCGCCAGCTCAGCAGCTGAGCACCACGCAGCCCGCCAGGCACTGCCACTGGTGGTCACCAGGAGGAGGGCCCTGCCCAGCCTGTCGGAGCTCCCTGGGGGGAAAGGCTGAGTGATCCCTCTGGCAGCCACCTTGCCAGACCTGAGCACCCCACAATGGGCTGGGGTAACCATGAATGCTGCCTCAACTCTGGGCCTGCCATGGTGCAGTCCCTGTGGCCCTTCTGAGGGGGAGGAACCAGACCGGGGGGGGCTCTCTGCATGAACGTCTGGAATTCCAGAGCTGCTGGGGACGTTTTTCCTGAGAAAAAGATGGGTTTTGTTACTGCTTTTTGGGAAAAAGAAGGAGCCAAATGTTTAGTGTTTGGCAGCTAAAGCTGAACAGCTTCACTGCAGAGGAATGGTGTGGGAGGGCTTGGGGCGGCTGGGATCGGGGCAGCTGCTCTGCACAGGCTGCCTGCATTTATGTGTTTAATGTTTTTGCCCAGCTGAAAGCAAATTTTCTGCTTGGAGTATTTCTGGCCTCCAGCAAAGCCCTGAAACTTTCCTCCAAAACACCCTCTCTGGCAGCCTGTGTTTCCATCCAGAGGCCTCTCCCGCCCATTCCCCAGTCTCACGGTGCCAGCAGTACCTGGCAGGCAGATGATGCCTGAGCGCAGCAGCCCAGCATGCAGATCCTGCCAGGCTGGAGGCTCCCGACCAGCAGTGCCAGCGCTGGGCACAGAGGGACCATTCTTGCAGCTGGCACTTTCCTCCATGGGAGCAGCAGTGGCTGCATTCATACCTGTGCACAGGGATAGAGGACAGAGAAGCTGGTGACACTCAACAACACAGAGGAATAGCAAAACCCCAGCAGTGCCTGGTCAGATGCTGCAGTCCCACAGGATGGTACCTTTCCCTGCTGCCCTGGCTCTGCCCATCCTGGGTGAGTAGATGGCCGACATCTTCTTCCAGGCCCCCTCGTGCTGGCTGGTGACTCTTTCATCCCCGGGGGCTGCCCCGAGCCGCGCACCCTTCAGGAAGGAGAACTTGTGGCTGGAGCCTGGGGGGAGCCGGGGGCTGCCCTGCTGCACCAGCCCCCGTTGCCCTGGCACCCCAGGAGTGGCTCGGCGGGACCGGCGGGTGAGGAGCGTGGGGCTGCCAGCCCCCTTCCTGTGCTGTGCAGGGGTCTCACGGGGGATGGCAGGGGGCAGCTCGGAGCCAGGGCTGTCGGGCTCCTCCAGGATGGCTGCCATCAGCCCAGAGCCGAAGCTCACCGGGTTCTGCTGAGCAGCCATGTAGGAGTCACGTTGGCGGCACTTTGGGCCATGTGGCCCTGGCTCCTGGCTCAGCTTCCTCCCCAGGCACGGGCTGCAGGGACTCTCCTCTGAGCTCACTGCTCCCTCACAGGGCCAGGTGTCTGCTCCCAGTCCCTCATTTGCCCAAGGGAGCATCTCCTCGGCCCCAGCCCTTATTCTCCCTGGAGGGCAGGTGGGCAACAGGGATCTAAGGACGTCCATGTCCTCCTGAGATTGTTCCAGCAGGTCCACATACTCCCCCTCCAGGTTCTGGCTGATGATTTCACTGAGGCTGGGCACATCCAGCATGGCTGGCTTCTTCCGCAGACCTGCCTGCTCCACCTTGATCAGTCCTGGGTATCGTCCCTGGCTTGACTTCCGAGAGGTGGCCTTGCAGCCTGGGATGGTGCCCACAATGTTGCTGTAGGGTGTGGGGACATTTGCTGTGCCATGGGGCACAAGTGTGCTGAGTGCTGCTGGCTCAGGAGCAGGTTCATGGTGGGCACCAGCAGGCACACTGTCAGCTCCAGCTCTGGGCTTGTCGGTGAACTCAGGCGTGGCAATCCGGCTCCATGGCAGTGGGGTGACGCCGTTCTCGGTGGCTACCAGGCAGGTGTGCAGGGGAGCTCCGGCCCAGCTGCTGTTCACCTCCTCCAGCCATGCATTGGTGAAGAGCGGTGCATGGGTGGCCTCAGGGACAGGGGTCTCCTCCACTGAGCGCAGGTCCAGGGAGAGGTGCTTGATGGTGACACGTGCTGTCTGCTCCTCACAGGGTTCTGCTTGCAGGTAGAAGTCCCCAGGGCGCAGCAGGAGGGGGTTGAGCGGTGCGAGGTGCACAACCACCTTCTCGTGCAGACATAAGGGCCAGCCTTCATGGAGAAAGATGCGGTTAAAGTAGGGAGCCTGGGAGGGAGGAAGAACACAGTGCATGAGAGAGGCCTGCCAGCTCTGTGCCTCCCAGCCACCCCCACGCACTCTTGCTGCTCAGCCCTGTGCTTCCCACGATGAGGATGGAAGAGCCTGGTGACCCAATGCACGTCCCTGAGCTAAGCCCCTGCAGCCATGGCTATTCCCAGGGTGTGGAGTCTACCCAAGCGCTTACAGAGGGAAAACTCCTGCTTGAGCCTCTCTAGGATCAAGACAAGATGACCACAGAGCCCCCCTGCCCTTATTGCAGGGACCATATATGCGGGACAAATCCCAGGGAGCTGGGTGTGCCACGGTCCCCTCCGCAGGGAGCAGATGGGACAGGGAGTGCAGGGAGGGAGCCCACAGGTCAGCGTGCCAGAGGGACTCTATAGGGCAAACCCCCAGTGTCCGGGGGTGGCTTATGGGAGCCGTTGTGGGGCACGGGGGCTTACACAGGCTGCCTGCCGCAGGCGCTCGAAAAGCCGCTTGGCCGGGATGAGGAACTGGAGGAGGCAGCAGAGCCCATCCCCCTGGTAGCTGGTCTCCAGCAGCCGAAACACCTGGCTCAGGACGGTGGGAGCAGTGGCTTCGAAGGGTGGGTAGAGGGCCTGGAGAGCACTTTGCACCGCCGCATCCAGCGACCCGGCATCCTGCGGGAGGGAGGCAAGTGTCGCTGGTGGGAGAGTGGCCCCGCAGCGGGAACACAGTTTCCCCTGACCCGGTGCCTCTGCCCACCATCCCACGCTGCACTGTGCCACCGTCGGGGCCCTGGGACACCCACACTGGCAATGCTGCTGTGCACAGGGGCTCCAAACCCTCCTGGGGTGGAAACAGGGGGTACCGGGAGTGGAGCAGAGCAAGCACGGCACAGGCGGGGAGTGCGGCACGGCGGATCCGGTTTCCAGCGCCGGGCTGTGGTTAAGGAGCCTGGGATAAACCCCGAGGCAGCAGCCGCCTTGCTCGGCCGCCAGCCATGTGGAGGCGGACGAGCCGCAGCAGCCGAGGGGTTAAGCAGAGTCAGACCAGACAGATCGTGGGGCTGTGCTGGGCTCCGCAGCTCGCTGCAGGAATGCAGCAGATGGGAGGAAGAACAAACATCTGAAGATGGATAGGGTGTTTTGGTCCAGACTCGTTGCTGAATTCGCCAAACTCAAAATTATTCCTGTATTTTCTGGGAAGCATTCTGCCGTGTTGCATCCCCCAGCACTGCCCCAGAGAGAGGTGAGGACATTGGGTCTGCGGTTCCCAGTTCATTGTCTCAGAGCTGCAGGAGCTGTCGGCTGTGTGGCACGGCTGGTACATGGAGAGAAGCCATCCCATGGCTCCTGTGATGCCCGGGATGTGCTCTAGGCAGTGCGGGGATGAGTCTGGCACAGCTGTCAAGAGGACCCCATCAGCAAGTGGGGAAGAGGAGCATCCTCCAAGCAGGTGGGTCCTGCTCGTGTAAGAGCACCCAGGAAGTCTGGTGGGATTAGCTCAAGGTGAGCATTAATTTAAGGCAGCTAATCCCTGGTCCAGGAGCCCATAGAGAGACAAAGGGGCCACGGTTAATTCAGCTTAATTAGTTTTAATGCGCTTTAGCTAAAGCACTTTGCAGTAATGCTCTGGTTAATTCTTCATAACTCTTCTTCTGTGTCTCAGCACAGGAATCTCCTGCCCTTGCACCTGACAGGAGAAGCCACAGAGCTGGGCAGAAGAGGAGGCAAGCCAGCCTCTTCTCAGGGCCCTGATCTACCACTGTGTTTCCTGTCTAGGCTTTCTGCCATTGGACCTTTCTCCTCAAGCTTTGTCTTATTGTGTACAGTTCCTAAAATGGACCTGGGAAACCCCTGATGAAGGGCAAATCCCAGCATCCCATTCCATGCGTCTCCAGTGGGTGCCCAGCGCTTCCATGCCCAGCACTGCCGAGCTCAACTTCATCTCTACCCCAACACCGAGGTGAGGAGCCACAACAGCACAAGAGGATCCATCCAGCTCCAAATGCTGCCATGAGAGATGAGCCACAACTGCCTGCCTTGCCTCCAACAGTCTTTTAAATCCTCCCAGGAGTGGTGACTCCACCATTGCCTGGGCAGCCTGTGCCAGGGCTTGACAACCCATTCAGTGAAATTTTTCTCTAGTATCCAGTCTAACCCTCCCCTGGCACCACTTGAGGCTTCCTGTTCCTGAGGTTTCCTGTTGCCATATCACCCAAGACTTCATCATGTGTGAGCCAGTGTCAGGAGAGAACCAGAAACTGATGGAGGCACCAGACACAGCCCGAGTTGTGCTGAGGAATATTTTGGCCTGGAATGACTGACTAAAAATGTTTTTATGGAGCATCACAAAGCACTTCATCACTGGGGGAGGCTTTTGGGGTAACTATGGTGCAGTGGCTCCGAGTTCGTAGGCGAAGCCGCATCCGGGCCGGCCAGGGGCCCGTAGGAATCTGAAAGCAGCCAGTTATCCCAGCGCCTCCACCCGCTGGGAGGGAGCCGGAACAAAGGCATTAGGGAGCATAAGGAGATTTACATTTGCAAAGCTATTTCCATTTTAATAAGCCAAAGTGCTGTTAAATAGAGATTGATATTTCTCCCCAAATACCCATATATTTAAACTGGTTTACATCAACAAGACGGGCTGGGCTTTGGGGTTTTGGTGTGGTAAAGTTGCCCAAAGCCACAGGGTGACTCAGCTCCAGCTCCTTTCTCCCCCTGCTCAGGAAGGAGCGAGGTTTGAGCCTGGGACCAGTCCTGAATACCAATTCCTCTGCCTCTCGGCAGCGCTTGCTGTCACCAGCTTTGGCAGGACACGATGCAAGCGCTCAGCCTGGCCCAGATGGGGAGGCCGCGCTCAGCAGAGCCCGGGGCAACGGCACGTGCCGGCTGCGGTGACGAATGATCCAATCGGTCTGGCGAGCATCCCCCTGAGCTGGCACGGCTCACACAGCAGCTCACACTCGCTGCACCCATCCCCCTGACAAACTTCGCAGCGAAGTTTAAGCATCGCAGGATGCAGCCCCGCACACACCTGCCCAAGCGGCCACGTTCCACCTCCACACCTGATCCCCAACCTTGCACTGACCTCCATCTTCACACCCATCTGTCTCTGCCTTCCCACCCACCTCTGCCCCGACACCCACTTCCACACCCACCTTTGCACCTCCTTCCACCTTCGCTCCCGCCCTCCCTCTGCTGTCGATCCCGCTGCCCACCCCGTGCCCACCCGGTGCCCGCGGAACGGCAGCCACGGGAAGGGGCAGCAACAGGGAGAGGGATGCCCTAGGAGTTACCATGTTTCCCAGGAAGTGGCAGAGGGGTCGGGGGCCGCGGCACAGACCGTCCCGTCCCTCCTCCTCCTCTTCGCCAGCTCTCCCCGGCCTGGGGCTCCCGGCCGGTCCCCGTTCCGCCGGCGGCTCTTCCCGGCGCCGGCGCCTCCGGAGCCGCGGGCGGGGGCTGGCAGCCCCGGCCCCCTCCGCCCGCCGCGCCTCTTCTGAGGGAAAAAAAGAAGAAAAGAAAAAAAAAAAACAACAAAAACAAGAAAAAGAAAGAAAAGAAAGAAAAGGCGAAGAAAGCGGGAGCGGGGCGGGGCGGGGGAGGGAGTGGGCTGGCGGGGGTGGCCCGGAGAGAGCCGGGGGGGCGGGGGCCGCTTTCCTGTGCCCGCCGGCGGGAGCCCCCCGCACGCTCCCAAGGCGCGGCCCCCACGGGGACAGTCCCCTCGTGTGTCACCAAGGGAGGGGGGACGGCCCCCGGCGGAATGGGATGGGATGGGATCGGAGTGGAGGGAGAAAGAAACTCCGAGCGGGTGGCAGGAGGCGGCTGAACCGGGGTCCTCCCCCAGCCCCCGCCTTCCCCCCCGAGCAGTTCCAGGCGGAGGGTCCTGGTACACGCCGAGAACAGGCAGAGCTGCGTGTTCATGTTTGTGTACATGTGCGTGTAGATGCTTGTACATGCATTTTGTGCGGGGGTGCCCCTCTTTTCCAATCCACCCAGGGTCAGTGTGATCCCCCGGCAGTGGTCTATGTCCTGGATGGATCCCATGGCTCCCAGTTACCGTTCCTGAGTTGCCCCAAAAGCGCAGCAGCAGTACAGTGAGTGCCTCTCTGGGGACTTTGAGCTGTTCCAGGGATGGGAAGGAGGTACTGAGGGGTAGGATCATGGGATTCAGCAATCAGAACGGTACAAAAACAACCAGCATAAGAGCCAAAGCCACAGATTTGGTCTCTCCTAAGGCAAAGTGCTGTTTCACACAGCCCTGCCAGTCCTGAGCACAAATACTTCTCCCAGCTCCAGGCATGCTGGGCACAGCTCTCCCAGCCTCTAGCACTGTGGCCACAGCATCATCAGCTCTGCCAGCACTGCACTATGTCCAGCACTCTCTGCGCCTTGCTCAGGCTGGAGTCATTTCCACTGTTGCATTCGTGGGAATGGGCTCAAGGCCGGGACTGGGGCTGGGAAAGGAGCAGGGCGGGTGGGACGGCCGCAGCGTGGGCTGCAGGCTGCCGGGGCAGTCTCGCAAGTGAACATTTGTCCAGGGATCAGCGAGCGGCCAAAGGACACGCTGTGAAAACAAGCCGAGACGGGAGGAGGTGCAGCTGGGCTGCTGGCGTGTGGGAGGGAGGATGGCGCCAGGGAGGCCTTCGCGTTTGCTTCCCATTTCCTTGGGAGCTGGTGAGAGCCCTCCCGCTGCCCGTATGGATCACGAGTACTGCAAGGGCTCAGGCACCAGTGGTCGTGCCGGTGGGCAGAGGCTTGGCCATGGGTATCATGCGGGGGTGCCCAGCTGAGTCCACTGCAGGACTGGCACGTGGCTCCAAGCCAGCATCCCCAGTGCCAGCTGGGACCAGCTCATCCCTCATCCCTCATCCCTCCCCACCAGCAGCCAATTGCCCCTGTAATTGTGTTACTCCTCTTACCAGCTTCAGGTTTTTCATAGTTCCCCTGAGTGCAGAGGAAGATGAGCTCAAGGCTGTGACCTTTTTTAGTTGCTTGGTCACCTCTGAAATGGACCCAAGAGGTCCTTGTATCTCTTAACAGACACCAGGGCCAGGAGAGGGCGTTGAGGGCAGGGAGAAGGACAGTGTGGCTGTGTCCTGGCACCAGCACAATGGATCGATTCCTCTGTGATATTGGTGAGCACGAAGATACAGATATGGAGTTGAGCCCAGAGGGACCCCATCACCCTCCACCCAGAGCAGCAGCTCCCCACCTGCACCGTGAGGTGTCTCTTGCCATCTGTGCTCAGCCGGGCCAACCTGCAAAGGTAACCAGCTTTACATCCCCACATCCTCCAAAGTCCTCTGTGCCCTCCAGCCAGCCTCAGACAGCAAGGCTGGGAGTCGGTGCTGGGGAGCAAGTCCAGCAAAAGGCACAGCTTCTGGGGGCCACCCGGGTGCCCCCGGGGCTCCTTACCCCATGAGCTCACCCTCCTCTGCTGCTCCTGTTCTCCATGTCCTGTTTGTCCCGAGCAGCTGCTGGGACAGGCTGCATGTGGCCTCTTGCCCTGCCCCTCTGCCGGCACAGAGCCACCATTGAGATTCCCCCAGGCTCTGCCCGAGGTCACCATTCTTGCATTTTTATTTTTACTTTTCTGCAAATCAACCCTCTTGGCTCTTTGTGTCCCCTTTTGTCTCCCATGAGGCCCCCAGACTGTCACAAGCTGGCTGTGAGAGGAGCCTGCCTGTCTGGGGGAATGCAGCCCTTGGCAGGGGGAGACACACGAAGTGCAGTGCTGACATGTCACTGGGAAGTCACTGGGATGTCACTGGGATGTTGGGGTGGACGGATGGTGAGAGCGGTGAGCCCAGCATCAGGGTTGCTCTCTGGGGCTGGCTCCCGGTGGGACCCTGGTGGCTCCTGCCCACATCCCCACATCCAGGGGCCATCCCCACGTTTGCTGCTGGCTGTGCTCCACGGGGCTCTGGCTGTGTGAGCTCTGGGGTCCACGGCTTTCCCCGCTACCTATGTTAGATTAAGTGGTCAGGGCTGGCGTCAGCAGTGACCTCACGGTGGCCCAGAGCCCTCCCAGCTCCAGGAACAGCCGAGGCTGGGTCACGCTGAGGCTGCAGCTGGGAAAACAACTGTGGAGGAGCCCCCGCATGTCCCTCAGCTGTATTTTTAGTTGCTGCTGGGTCAGAGGCTGTCAGAGATGTGCAGGTGATAGTGGACAGCATCAGGCTTTGTGGTGCAGTGAACAGAAGCCACAGCTCCCCACACCTTGATGACAGGGTTTCTCTGAGTTCTGGTGAAGTCCCTGTTGGTCTAGGGGCAACCACAGTTGCCACACGTCCTGACCACAGCCCAGTTCTGTGGGTGATAATGAACTTGTCCTGGCTGGAAATGGGTAAGGGAGGTGTTTTTTTGGCTGGTGACTTCTCTTTTCAAGTTCTCACTAAACCCAGCCCGGCTGCTCTCACTTTTCTTGCTGAGTCCATGGGTTTTCCCTGGTGTTTCCCTTCCTGCCAGTGGAAGGCTGGAGAGCAGCAGCAGTCATGCCTCTGGCACTGGTACAAGCTGGCTGGGAATTCCCGGGCTGGTAATGGCACTGGGGAGCACAAATGTGTCCGGATTTCCTTGCATATGGCAAAAATAGCTGATGTCCTCGTTCGCAGCCCCAGTCCAGCTCCTGTTGTCCCTAATTAGCCCCAGCACGTGGCTGCAGGATAGCTTGAGCCATGGCAACACAAGAGATATGTGGAAAGAGCTGGGGCAGGATGGGGAACTGCCCACACGTGCTGAGGAGCGTGTGGGGCCAGAGAGATTCCTGACCTGGGGGTCAGGGGGTGGCCTGTGGACAGTGGACAGAGGGGTCTTGACCTGCAGTGCTGGGCAAAGTCAGCAGCAGCACAGGACTCCTGCAAGTCCCTCCTGGGCTCCTGACTCCCATCTGACCATTCCCATTCCTTCTCCAGCAACCTGGGGGAGCCAGCCTTTCCCCAGTGAAGCAGACCCCACATTTCCAGAACAGGCAGAGCAGGAGAATTCTTTACCTGTCCAAAGGGTTGGGGCAGGCAGGGCAGGATTTCATGTTCCATCCCCTCTGTTACCACTTGCAGGAAGCACTACCGGGACCGGCACATATGTTGAGCTTTAGATGTGGCTTTGGCTGCTCCTTGCCAAACACAGCAATGTTTGGTTAGTGCTCGGGTCTTTGAAGGCTTTTTTTCAGTTCAACTCCAAAATTTGCTCAAAGTCAGGGGTAAGATTTCCTGGTTTTGTTTCCTTTCTGTGCTATTCCCTATACAATTTCATTTCTCCTTATGGAAGAGTTTTGGCTCCTCCATGTTCCTCCTGAACTTCTTGAGTGTTGTTTTGACACAGCCCTTCAGTGAGATGGGGTTGTCACCATGTGAGGTTTGGGGAGCTCCTGCTCCAAAGTGAGCCAGACCCAGAGAAGAGCTGATGATGGGTGACAGGGAGGGTCACGATGCTAAGGAGGCTGTGAGTGGAGATTTGGCCTTTTGCCTTTCTCCTCTGCTCTTGGATGCTTCTTTCTGGGCAACAGGAGATCTAGGGAAAAGGAGCACTGCCCATGGGCTCCTGGCTCCCAGAGCTGGATTGAGCAGGCACAGATGGAGAGTTACAACCTGTGGGTGATGATGCTGGGTACCTGTGGGACACAGCTCTGCCCTGGGTGGTTTGTCCCTCTCTGCAGGCACCATTCTTGCCATGTCCCAGTTTCCCAGGTTCCAGAACTGACTGTGACTGCCGTGCCCCTTTCAAAAGCTGTATCCGCTCATACAGGCCTGGTGGGCATTTGCTAGATGTCTGCCAGGCAGCCTGCAAGTGACCCTGCTGAAAACTTGTGGAACAAAAGGCAAAGAGGAACAGAATGCCTAGGCCTTTCCATTCTCGATCTCCACATGTGGAGTTCCACCACCAAGGGATTGCTGTGCTTGAGCAACAGCTGCATTTCACAACATCCTTGATTGGCTCAAGGATGTTGCCTCTGGCAGCCAGGACTTCCTTGGATCCAGCATGAGATCTGCCTGCATCAGCAGGCATGGGTTTCCTGTGCCTGAACCCCAACAGGAAATGAAAGTAACTGAATCATTTCTTCTTCCCTCACATTTGTCCTGCAAGAAGAGATCAGCCAGCCCAGCTCTCCTGGCTGAGGGGGCACAGGGGTGTTCCCCCCTCACACCTGACTGGCTGCACCCAGCTCCTGCCCCTATCTCCAGCCATCGTGACAAGAGCTGTGACATACCAGGCCTCAGAAGTGTTGTCTTTGGAGCTTGATCCTGGGGTGATGGATGTCTCCTCCTGTGCATGGCTGCTCTGTGCAGGAGCCTTGTGACAAGGTTTGGAGGTGCAGGGCACCCCACTCAGGTAGTTGCCCTAGTGCAGCTGTCCAGCCCAGGCAGGTGCCCCTTTGCCAGCCTGGCTGAGTGTGGGGGTCCCTGGAGTCTGATCACATGAGTTGAGAAGCTGTGACCTGCCTTCTTTAGCCATCGCTGTGCCTCAAGGCTGCTCTGGTGCCCCACAGCTGCTCTGGTGCCTTTGGAAGGCCTGTGCTGTGACAGAAGCAGCTCACAGAGTAGCCAGGAGAGCCATGGGACAGGGACAGGGATGGAGAGCAGCAGGGCTTGGACCTTGCTCCTGGACAGCCCAGGCTGTTCCCAGCTTTTACTGGGTGCAGGCTGCAGGAATGTGACTCTGTCAGGCTCAGCTGGCAGTGCCAAAGGCAGCTCTTCTCCACAGAGGATGCCACAGGCAGGGATTGCTGGCACTGACAGAGAGCAGGAAACTGGGCTGTTGCCTCCACTGCTGTTGTTTCCACTGCTCCTTCCCTGCCTTGGGTGATTGGCACCAGGTGTGCTTCTGTGCTGGGCCATGCCATGGTGTCAGCAGCACAGAGGAGCAGGGCAGTGGCCAAGCAGGAAGTCCTGGGGACGCCCCCCACGGCTCCAAACACCACCCTCACTTGCAGTTCCTGTTTTGACAGGGATATAAAGGTGGTGTGAGCAGGGAGAGCCCAGCATAGAATAACATTGAAGGAAATGAGGATGCGAGTGCAGAGCCTGGCGGTGGCTTGCGGGGCACTGGCATTGTGCCTGGCACTCACCACAGCCACCAACCCCGGCTTTGTGGTGAGGATCACCCAGGCAGGCTTGGACTACGGTGGGTTCTGTTTCTGATTTCTCTCCTTACAGATGCGCTGGTGGCAGAGGTGTGGAGCCAGGCAACCTGTGCGAAGTTCAGAGTCCCGGGACAGGATGGGGGATCACTGGCCATGGGTGCCCGTGTGAGGAGCACAGGGGCAGGCCAGGGAAATCCTTGGACAGGGGTGCCAAATGCACCATCACCCAGGGCTTTCCCTGTTGCACCTGCCTGCCCCCAACCCCACAATACGACGGAGCCCCTGCAGAGGGGACAGCCCTGTGGGGTCTCAGGGAGCTGCAGCCAGGCAGTGTGGGGGGCTGGCACAGCAGGAGGGTGCTGGTCTCACAGCATGTCCAGGCGTGAGCCCTGGAGGAGGGAGCTGCAGAGCAGAGAGGAGCTGGGGAGTTTGAGGGTGGGGCAGTGACAGAGATGGATGGGCGCCGTGCTGGTTTTATCGAGCAGGCAGAGCCCCGGCTCCAGCAGAGCACAGTTATGGATTGAAATACACTGTGTGAGAAACAGCTCATTTACCAGGCAGCTCTGCCAGCTCTATGGGAGAGAACGTGACTCCCCTTCTCAGACGGAGGCAGGGGTGCATCACCCACTGGTGTTTTGCCACTCCCTGGTAAAACTCCATCCATTTTTGCCTGCTGGCATTGGGCATGGAGCAGCCCATTGCCTCGGACTTCCCAAACACCTCACCTGGTTGGCAGCCTGGAGAGTGAGGATTGGGACATTTCTCTCCTTTCTGTGGCCACCTTCCCCTGAGGCTGCAAACAGGGCACTAGACAGCATTGCCTGTGTGCTCACAGGCCTCTGTGCTTTAAAGGTTTGCATAAAAAAGGTTTGTTTTAAAGCCAGCCTTGGAGGCAGCATCACCTGGATCTTTCCTTGGATCCTTCTGCTGCATGCCTGGTGTGTGTTCCAGCTCCTGTGGCAATGGTGGAGTGATGCTCTCCCTGTGTCCCTGTAGCCCATCAGCAGGGGATGGCGATCCTGGAGAAGGAACTGGCCCAGCTGAACCTGCCAGACATGTCGGGTGACTCTCGTGTCTTGCACGTGGGGAAGGTTCGCTATGAGCTGTCCAGGTGAGCCCTGCCCGTTCCTTGGAGCCATCCACTGCCCCCAACCCAAGCAATGGGCAGCAGGAGTGGGGAGCCCCTGGAGCAGTGAGGACCATCCTGTCCCCTCCACAGCTCCCTGAGATGTTTGCCCTGTCCTTGGTACATGCAGATATGTTCCCATTTCACTCCCTGTCCATGGGGAAAAGAGGAAGCAGGGGTCATAGCACTCTGGGTGTGGGTGGTCTGTGTGCAGTCAAGGCCTGGGTAGTGGAGATGGGCCTTGCCTTTGGGACCAGAGCACATGTTCCTAGGTGGAGCAGGAGCCCAGCCCGTGTGGAAATGTCAGTTCCCTGCTGCCCCACGTTCCTTCATGTTCCTGCAGCACACCATTTGGAGCTGCTGTGGGTGGCTGCAAGAGCCACATTCCCAATGGTGCCACTCTGTTCTGTGTGTCCCTGCAGGCACAGCTTTGCAGCAGCAGAACTGCAGCTGGGGATGCTGCCAGTGCAGTGACTCCACTCCCTGCCACTCATCCTCCTTCCCTCCCTGATTGTCTCACTCCCTCCCTCCCTAGCCCTGTGCTTGGGAGCAAGGAACCACTGTAACATGACTTTTATTTTTATTCATATAAATTTAGATTGCGCCTTCGTGACTTCCATTTGCCATACTCCCGGATTACCCCGATCTCCAAAGTGGGTCTGCAGGTCTCCATCTCCAACGCCTTTGCTGAGCTGGATGGGGACTGGCGGGTGAAGTTTCTCTTTATGTGAGTGCCCAGCTCTTCCTCACTCTGTGTCTCCAATTCTGGATCTGGACAGTTGTTTTTTTTCTCCTGTCCCTCTCTTTTGTGTTTTGGGCAGCTGGCACTTTGCTCTCCCAGATATGATGGATAAAACAGGATGGGAAGAGACAGGAACAAAGCACATGAAAGGGCAGCTATACATGGGACGCTCAGATCTCTCTTCAACCTCCCCTACTTGCTCTCACTCCCCTCTCCTAGTTTATGTGCCTGTGAAATTGGTTTCTGCTGAGTTTGAAATCTTTCCCAGTCTCTTCTGGATGAACCATACAATGGGGAGAATGATCTAGATAGATTATTCATCCTGAAGCTGATTTGAGGTCTCTTCACCAGGCCTCGGCATTGATGAACTTCCCTTTCTCATTTCCCTCTCCCAGCAGCCGGGACCACGGATCTTTTAACCTGAAGGTGGAAAATGTCTATATCAAAATCACCTTGAGTCTGGGCAGAGACACCACTGGGAAGCCCACCGTCAGCACTTCGGCCTGCAGTGCCAGCATCTCTGAAGTGCGGGTGCTCTTTTCAGGCAAATTGGGGTATGTAAATTCACTGGAAGATTTGGAAACACTGAGTCTTAGCCCACCTGCCATAGGAATGTGGCTCTGGTGTGAGGAGCAAATTGTTGGCAAATCTGAGGTGTCCTGGTCTTAAATCTGGCCTGAATTTCTCCTGCTGCACATGTGGCTGCACATTGAAGACGGGTGGATGTAGTTAAGGCAGACACCAGACTCCTGTGGTTTACCAGGGAGGCTGTTTGCAAATCTAAACCCTGGGGCAAAGCCAGATGCCAAATTGGTGTGGGAAGGATGTTCCCAGGCTCTTGCATCTCTAGGGTCTCCCTTTCCTGGGCACATCCTTCTGCAGTACGGATCTGAGTTAGATAGGGCTTCTCTCTGTGTTTCTCTGCAGGTGGCTTTACAACCTGTTCCACAAGTTTATTGAATCCAAGTTGCGAAAGATTTTGGTGGAAAAGGTATGCGAACAGTAGGGCAGGACCCTGGGTCTTCTGGTGGTCTTCAGCCCTCACTTGTAGGTGATGTGCTCGAGGGATCAGATATAGAGAGGTAACTAGAGTCAGAGCACACGACTGTGTTGCCAATTCAGTAAAAACCAAAGGAATGGGCGTTGCAGGCTCCATAGCATAGTGTGACTCAGGCTGAATTTGAAACCTGGAGCCTTTGCCAAAACCCAGCATAATTGGTTCCTAATTAACAAAGACTTTTCTTTCCATGTGGTCAGTTAATTAGATCTTATGTCTCAAGCCAAACTCATTGTAACCTGATCAGAGCTGTCCTTTAACCAGCCGTATTCTGTAGGGCTTTGGGGAGCACTAGGGGGGAAACTCTCATTCCTGGATTTCAGACATTTGGTGTTTTGTTTTACTGAGGGGGGTCAGGGAGCTCTGGTACTGCTGCCTGGTACAGACACTGACATGCAGGAGACCTGAAACAAGACATGGAAACAAGCTGTTAGCAATAATTACTACAAGGATAACTGGCATGAGTTACAGCCTCTCTGGATGTGAACCTTGCTCGGGAAGGAGGCAGTTGGAGAACAGGCAAATCCCACTCCTGCAGCAGATCCCATCCTCCCCAGACACTATTCCAAATTTCATGCAACACCTTTCTCAAGCCCCCTGGGGTCTGTGAGAGCAGATGGTCTGGCAGCAGGAGCAACACCAGGGCTCAGAAACCTTTTCTGCTGTTTTGTCCCCTGGAAGAAGAACAGCTCTAGGACTGCAAAGGGACCCCACTGCCCTCTGCCCCTCCTCCAAGCCCCCTCTGCCCCACACACATTCTTCATTGTCTTTGTGGAATGATGGTGTGAGGGGCAATGGGCAGGACAGGACAGGGATTGAGCTGTGCCCTGGGCACAATTGGGCTATAACCCAGGCCAGGCAGCCTGTGTCTGCCTCCTGCTGTTGCTGCAATGCTTGGGCAGTTCTAATACCCCCAGTTCTGGGACTCCATTCACAGAGAGATCCCAGTCACAGGGAAATCAGGTCACAGGGAAATGTGGGTCATGGGGAAATCCCAGTCACTGCGACCAGGGCTGCATTTTTCTGCCTGCAGCAACATCCTCTCAGGCACTGATAGGGCATTTCCAACTCAGACAGAAAATGATCACTGGGGACAGGGAAGAGCTGCAACCTGCTGTCAATAAGGCTATGCCCAAGGCTCTCTTGCCTCCTCCTCCTCATCTCTTTAGTGTGGTCGCTGCCCCTGCACAGTGCTGCATCTCACCATCAGCTCTGTGGGCTACATGCCCAGTCAGACAGATGACAGATCCTGCCCATGGTTGCTGGGATGTTACAATGAAAACATTGAAAGGAGCTTGTGCAGATTTCCTCAGCCATCTGCAAGATGGTGCCCTGCAGTAAATTTCCCAGTCTAGTAGTGATCCTGCAATAAAATCCACACAAATTCCAGGGCTATACTTGTGGATGACAGAGGCAGAGGGATGCATTCTCCTGTCCTGGCACACAGCTCTAGGAGCTCAGCAAAGCTCAGCTTCAGTGGAGTCAGTGCTCCTGCCCCTGTAGGGTGGGTTAATCCTCTCAGTTGCTCTTCTTCAGCCACATCCTGGTTGCTCAGCACAGTTCATTCCTGCATGGGCCACATGAGATTCATTCCAAGGGTCTCCCCACAGCTGAACTGTACCACAGGGAAATTGCTGCAAGCAGGTGCTTGTAGGTATAAACCCTGCTTGTGTCTTGGACACTTAATGTGCTGCCTGATGAAGGGAGACAATCATCACTGTGTGCTCTTTGATTTAAGCAGGTTTTGTCATGGAGCAGGGAGCGTGGCCGAGGCTCTGAGTGGGGGCTGTGACCCGGCTGCCCCCGCTCAGCTCTGTGGCCTTTCTGTTCCACAGGTCTGTGACAAGGTGACCAAGTCTGTGCACAACGACCTCCAGACATACCTCCAGACCCTGCCAGGTACTGGGGGACTGCAAATGGGTTTGCTCCGGAGCCCAAGCTCAGAGCTGTGGAGCACCTTCTCAGCAGATACAAATCACTGTGGCTGTGGAGATCCCGTCAGAATCTGTGTCCAATGACTTGCAGGAGCTTGGGCTGCCTTAGCTGGGGGATCCAGGCTATTCCTCAGGTCCAGGAGCTGGTTTGCATCACTGAGAAACATTCAGGAGAAAAATGTTTTCTTTCTCTACTAAACGAAGCAAGCAGAGGGGCAGTTGGTAATGAGCTGATGCACCATGCAGCCCAGGCATGGCACTGCCCAGATGCCACTAGAGGCTGTCTGCTGCCAGCTTTCTGAACCATGTCATTCTTACTCATCTCTCTTTCTTGTGTTTACAGTCACAGCCAAGATAGATGGCAAGACTGGAATTGATTACTCCTTGGTGGCATCCCCAAGAGCTACTGCCAAGTCCCTGGATGTGTACCTGAAGGTGAGAGGCAGCCCTGGGGACACTTGATTCTGCCAATGCCATTGCCACAGGCAGGTGGGAACCAAGGTTTTGGTAACTGCTGCAAATGCTGTTTGCCAGCCTGAGTCAGCAGGTGAGCCCCCACTGCTGTTTGCACCCTTTCTCCACATCTCTCCTTCTTCCCAGGGTGAATTCTACTCCCTGGCCCACCGCTCCACTGTCCCCTTCCCACCACTGCCACTGGCCTTCCCCTCGGATCACGACCGCATGGTTTACTTTGGAGCCTCCAGCTACTTCTTCAACACAGCTGGCATTGCCTACCACGAGGCTGGGGTACTGGTCTTTGAAATCACAGAGGACATGGTGAGTGGCACGAGTGGGACAGGGCT